TGGATGAACCAGGATGTCCCACGCTGTCCTGAAGTCCCACATTGTCCTAGCATCCAATGGTGAGCACGGGTTGATCTATATTAACCAAATTATATAACATTGTATATACATTAAATGTTGGTGGTCTTCTCATTTACATGTAGTGTATAAATGTTATGTTTATATATTATTTTATCATATGTATACGTATAGAGATCAAAAACTTAGGTTCTTCTTCTTCTTCAATTTCCATCCCAGTTTCCTCCTGTGGCTTGACAGATGCAACAGGTGCTAATTAATATTAATAGAATTTATTAAATATTTTCATTAAAAATTTGTTAAATATACTTTAAAAATTATTTACCGTCTTTATCGTCCATGTCTTTAGTAAAATCGTTGAATTCCATCCAATCGTTCCAATCGTTGAATTATCGATCGCGTTCGATCGTGCGGTTAGCTTCGAAACAATTGAAAACGTTCGTATGTTCAGTGACCAAATATGGATATATGGAGTTTAAATTTTGCCGGGTGCATACACCATAGAATAAACTTACACAGAATATGAACTTAATAGACGTAAAAGAGTGACACTGGCGCCGCCAAACCCCGGGGGGGCCGAATTAAATCGGGCTTCATGATCACAAGAATAGAGCTTGGAGGCCCTGGTTATGAATGATGACATCTGTTTCGACTCTCGACGCTCGATGACGAGAAAATCATACGATAAATACCGTTTCTGACAGATTCATGACATGATATTACGATATCTCAGTTGTACGTGGACCGATTTTATTGATTTTGGTTTTATTCGAAAGCTTATATGCGGTTTACATCAGAAAAATGCCTTCAAATTTAGAAAATATTGTAGACGTGTTGAGATATTCACGAAAGAAGTTTCAGGTTAGATTGGAATGGACCATCTCTCCTGTAAAAGATACGTGGTAGCTCCAACACCATATATACGCGGTGACGGATAATTTTTCATGTACAGGCGCCGAGACGCTACCGCGTCTCTAGATATACTCAAAGGAACTACTCTTCGACCATTGGTCAAAGCTGCAGTCGGCCTGTCATCGAGATGGAATTTTTGCTATAGTTCTCGAATTCGACGCATACGCATTAGCGTCAAGTCTCACTTTAGGTATGGAGATGTGGGTTACACTCTGTTCAGTGTATAAAGAGTAGGCTCGAGCAGTCCATGTATATATGGTCGAAGGTGGTTCCGGTGGTACTATCCTATAGCCAATTTATGTGTGGAGGGAGAACAAATTCCTCTTTGTTTGAATTTCGCGGCACTCTAGGAATTATTTACAAATTAATTATGTACAGATTTGAACTTTATTTCCTTTTTATTTATATATAAAACGATAGAAACATTAATAATAATGACATAATAATGAAATAGTATACATAATTTACATACCATAATTTAGATCATACAATTTGGTACAGAGCTAAATTTTATTATTTGTCACAATTCAATTTATATTGTATTTATCCAATTTTATGCGAAAAAGAATCTGAAAGTAACTCACTCGACAATACTCAACGATGCTCGAGTAGGTTATGTTACGGCGTACGTTTGTTCCCCCTCTACAAATAAATTTGCTATAGGATAATACCGGAACCACCCATTTTGCATTTCTCTCGGACCTCCGTCGCCTCTACTTCTTCCTACAGGAGTTCACACTCCAATTAGGATAGAGCTCAATGGGCTTATAACAGTTGTCGATGATTGAATTTTTGTTCACTTACTCATCATTATTGATGAGAAAATTCATTTCGGTTGCTTATTTAATTATTGAGTTGTTTACTCTTTTTCGAATGGAGCAAGTCTGTGAAAATCATTAAGAAGGTTTCGCACGACAAGACGAATAAACAGACCAAAAGAACAACACAAAATCCGTTTGTTAACTGTCTTTGTTCATGGACAACTCTGTTCCACTCGTATATGGACGTACAGTTGTTTAACACACAGGTGCAAACCCACTTAATTTAAATTTACAAAATGACGGTATTCTCCATGCGACTGCTCACATGTTCCTGCAAAATTCTATAAGAGTAATGGAAGTGGATTAGAACGAGGAGAACGCCTCGGACGATGAATTGGACAATATAAATTGTTCCGAAATTAGCAAGTCGTACGTTGAAATTGAAATAAAAAGAAACTAATAACTATTAAAAATTTCTTTTATCAATAACTGTTATAAGCAATCGAAATGAACTTCTCTGATTGATAACAGTTACCAGCGATCGAAATAAATTTCTCTCGACGATAACATTTACCAACAAGAGAACAAATTTTCGGTCACTTATAATCCTTATTTGTAATCAATACGATTTTAGTCGATCGAATACTTGTTGTTGGAATATTTACTAAACAGCGACATGTCATTTTATTACAAAAATAAACGTACTGAAAATATATGTACAACGTTATATCTGTCGCTGCAGAATAACGAAAGAGAAAGTTTTCGTTTAGGCTATGGCCTACCCTCTCAAGTGCCTGAAAGGACACTTCCTGTAGTTTACTAAAGACTAAACAGATGTGCTAAAACTACGCTGTATGCAGTTAGAAATTCTTTCTACGGTTTTTTTTTAACGTTCATTGGTGAGTCTTGTGCAGCTCCTCGTTAAGAAAAGATCACAATTTGCTCATGACAATTTAGTGAATAAAACAAAAGTTATCTAGAAATTCAGTATTTTATTATTCATCTATGACCCATTTCCAATACTTGTTATACCATGATTTTTTTTCTTTTTACTTATAACAGTTATGGTCCCTGTTTAATATAAAGGAAATAGAAATTATTTCATACTTTTTAGTGCAATTTTAATGTTTTTACGAAGTCGGTTATATTTTTTTGCCAAAAATTATTTCATCACGTTTCGAAAGCGTGAGAGGCTTAGTTGAGACGTCCAATCAAGATATTGTAACTATAACAAATTTTCAAGTATTACGATTAGATACCATTTTTCTACTGTCACACTACACGACCATTGTAACGGAGGATTTATCTATGACAATCAAACCATACTATTAGATTACGTTTTACGTTATGTATTAAATGTGCCTTGCCGTATGTCTCGATGCTACCATAGATCCATGAATCCAATAAATGCCTGAAGTTTACTCGATCATTCCAAGTTCCGCTGTCGACATCTTTTAACTCGAGTGGATTTTATTAACACGCTCTGCTCTGATTTCTCTCCTTTTCCAAACATCGCTCCAAAATTATTACCAATGGTGAATTTTCATAAGTGATCCTACAGTGGGAATCAAAAGAGATTTGTGTCAAGTTTTCACATGATAAGTGACGAGAAATGTGTACATAACGATCAACCTCCCCTTGATTGACGTTTATTCGTGAATTCTAATCGATAATCTCCGAAGTGAAGTTCTGTCTGCCAAGGCATCCTTATATCATTTTTGTGTTAATGTATTTTACAGTTACATTACTAAAAGCACAGTGATAGAGGTAGCAGATATATAGGGTGCCACAGTATCTTTTTCTCTTTCTAACTGTGGGACATTTACACTTACAAACAGAGAAAACATCCAGCTTTCCGAATTCACTGCAAAGAGCCACGTTTCAATTTATACTCCTCCTGGACTTTATCAAATTGCATAAAACGAACATCGTGAAATTTTAAAAATTGTACGATTTTTCTATGGAATAGAAGAACTTCGATTGCCAAAGATTAAGTGTCACAATAACAATCGAGTACACTTGCGAATAATCGATCTACTCGTACTCTAAAGTGAAGTAAAATTAAGGAAGAATCAAGAATGAAGCTGCTAGCAATAATTTTCCTCTGTACAATATTATCAACGTGCCATGGATATCGAATATTGGGCGTGTTTCCGTTCAATGCGAAGAGCCACTTTGTGATGTTCGAATCTCTGATGAAGAATCTGGCCAAAACGGGCCATCAGGTGGACGTGATAGGCACGCTTCCGTTGAAGAAACCGTTCCCGAATTACACGGACTTGGTCACGTTTGAAACTCATATAAATTTCATGAACAACGTCACTTACCAGGAAATCTGGAAAGAAGGAAAGGCACCAGGGATTAAATTTTTGGCTGAAATAGCAGGTAATCTCGTCTGCGAGTATTTAGCAGACCCTGGGATACAAAAGCTCGTTCGTGACCCACCAAAGGACCCACCTTACGACTTGATCATCATGGAGGTATGAGATCTGCTTGGATTTTAGACGAATTATTCATTGGTTTATAACGTTTCTAGCAGCATGTGCTGTTAGATGTATGAAGGAAGGTCATGTTTCGATCAGAAGTAGTCAGAACAGTTGTACGTGTGGGTGTGTTTCGTCAACTTTCTTTTATACCTTTTAATTTTATATTATTAATTATATTATATTTACAAGTTTCTCACGTGTCTAATTTATTCGCCATCCTCGATCATCCCAAATTCTACATGTATGTAGATTCTTTGTAATGGAGATCAGATTGAGAACATGGAAGGTTAATATAATGGCGATAAGTGAAATTTGTTGGCTACCTTCGTATACAGAATATATTGTAATGTCCATCAGGTTGAGACGTGGGTTGCGAGTATACATTCACTGTAATTTCTCATTTTCAACGTCCTGAACCTCTTTCAATCTGCTGATTCCAAACTCAAAT